AGGAAAAGAAACAGAGGAGATTGGGTGGAAAGGGTCTCAGGAGGAGCTGAAACTTTCAGGAAGAGAAATGGCTTTGTGGGGTTAAACTAGAACTTTAACTGAAAAGTAGCATGTACCATTGGCCGGGACCCATTTCCCTGAGTGTGGTGGGTAGGTACTGCTACGTCTGTTCGGACTCCTACTGGCCCATGCAAAACAGAAAGAAGCACTGCCCAGTCAACAATCAGGCTCCATCTTCACAAACGTTAAAGCTGAGCCCGCTGTTGAAGGCACTCTCAATCCATCTCATTGTTGCCCGCTTTCACTGACATTACCAGCTATGACGTCCCCTAGGCAGCGCCCCCTGAAACATCCAAAGTACGCCAGAGTAATCTTTCCCAGGGGTACACTGGCAGAGCCTGTGTGCAAGCAGAGCCTGCTACTTGTTGGTTCCTGAGTGGGTCTATGGCACATCCATCCGAGTCCATCGGAAGGCCAGGATGGGGAAAGGAAGGTGGGAAATGAAAATATTTACAAAGGGAACCACCCCAAATCCTGCCTTCCCTCCCAGACACTTCAGCCTTCCCTTCCCATGCTCTTACAAATCTGACACCCTGTCGCTTGTAAAGCCTGCTTTTTAAAAAGTGTTAAATACTTTATATATGACATGTCCCCTTAGGGACTGCAGAGGTGAAGTTCCTCTCAGCCTCCTGGCCGCTACTCAACTGGGAGAATTCAATGCTACAAGGTGCTTGACATTTTGTCCATTCCTCTAATATCGGACTGAATCGGGGCGAAGTGACTTCCCATGACTTCCTGGGTGTGTGGAACCCCAGCAGAGGGAGGGGCTCAGCGATCGGGCTCCCCTCTGGCGGCCTTGTCCGGACATAATCGAGGCACCCCTTCGAAACACTTTCCCACAGCAGGGAGAGTCTGGCATGGGAGGGAGGGGGGAGGTTCCTGGAAAAGATAAATCGTTACCACCATCCCTTTCCCCAAAAGGTGGTCTACGAGATCAGGTAAGGATAAAGCCCTTTGAGTTTGAAGTGGCCCGTCTGCCCCGCCCCCGCACGCCCGGTTTACGGTCGCTTTACGACAGTGTCTGGGTCGCAGACTCGCTTTCCGGCAGCGAGATGTGACGTTTCGTTTGCTTCCCGATAGCGAAGCGCCTGCTGCCTGCTGGTGCAAATGGGTCGTAGGTGGTTTTCAAAAGTTCGAGCCCCGGTACTGGAATGAGCCTCCTTGACCTCTTCAGGGGTTTTTTCGGCTTTTCTGGACATCGGAGGTAAGAGTGGGTTCAGGTCGGAAAATAGGTGAATCATTTGAGAAAAGTTTGGCCCTTAACATCCTACTTTTGGAAACCCATCCTCTTCCACACTCCTTCCATTTAGGAAAGGACCGAAGTTACAACTCTCAGCACTCACTGAGACAGCACGACAGTAACTAAGACAGTCGTTAAGAGGAGGGAAAACGGCAACCTTAGGCTTTCTCTACCTGGGGTGATGCAACAGGAGACAATGGGGGGTGGGCTGAGAGGAGCGGGCGAGTGAGCGTGACCTTGGGGTCGGGCAAGAAAAGGCGAGGAAGGGAGATGGGGTAAACGGGAGATGAAGATAAGAACTGAAATCTAACCGCTGCCGTGTTTTGATAGGACAGCCAGTCCTCTAACCCTCCCCCAGCTTCCCAGACGCTCCTTCTGCCTGGCTTTGTCACCCATGAGTAGATTTTAAAACGAAGTGCTTACCGCTGGGAAATCTCGGTAGCCAATCTGCCTCCACCCCCAGCCACAGAGACCCCTTTTTTGGAGGGATGACACGAGATGAGGATGAAGAAGATGAGGATGAAGAAGGAGGTGCCACATGGGGCTATGGGAGCTCCGAGTTTGGGGAGCCCCGGCCCCCAGAAGAATTTGGCTTCAGCTTCAGTCCAGGCGGAGGGATGCATTTCCACCACAACTTCGGCTTTGACGACCTAGTCCGGGATTTCAATAGCATCTTCAGCGAGCTGGGGGCCTGGACCTTGCCATCTCGCCCTCCTGGTGTGTGGAAAACCCTTGGATTCTAGTGGGTTGCGGGTGGGAAAAAGAGGCTACAGGGACTATTAATGAATGAGGAGTACTAGAAAACTGATAACACCAAGGAGGTTCAAAGAGCTGGAGCCCCTTCTCCCCACTCTCTCTGCAGAACTTCCAGGCCCCGAGTCGGAGATGCCTGGTGAGAGACAGCGGAAGGGAGAGACACTTCGGGATTCAATGCTTAAGTACCCAGATAGTCACCAGCCCAGGATTTTTGGGGGGGTCATGGAGCGTGATGCAGGAATTGAAGCCCCCAAACCAGCACCAGACTGGGGCTCCCAGAGACCTTTTCAGAGGGTGAGTATCCCATCTGGCTCTGAAATGGGAACCTGTGGAAGACAACCAATAGTGTATTGAGGAGGAATCCTTGGAGTGTGATCACTAAGGCTGGAGTCTTAGACCCTCCGTTTCGTTTGCATGTCACGTTCTACAATACACTGCTGTAGGTTTTTCTTTGGTGGGCAAAGTGGATGTTCTTTCTCTCTTTGTTAAAAAGCAAAAATCAATGTTCTAGAAGAATTTTTGAGGGAGAACAGAGAAATATCCTAGCAGGAAGGCTTCTTCATAGAGAAATATATAAACGAGCAGGAAAGAGAAAGAGGTGGGTAAATAGAACTATACTGAATAAGTTCCTCCTCCTCTGGGGGAGCGGGGGCTTGGTCTGTGACCCTTCAAGTTTCGGGTTGAAAAGCTGTCTTTTCACCTACTTTGACTTCTGCAGTTTGATGATATGTGGCCTGCGACCCCCCATCCTAGAGCCCGAGAGGACAATGGTGAGTCTAGAAAGAGGGGACATTCACTAGCCCTCTGTTGTTCTGAGTTCCCTCTGGTTTCCCTCCCTGGAGATTCTTCCAGTCACACCTCTCCTTTTCCCCCCTGTCCTGTTCCTCTCTTACTTCTTCATCTCCTTACCCTTGCAGATCTGGATTCCCAGGTCTCCCAGGAGGGCCTTGGCCCAGTTCTACAGCCCCGGCCCAGATCATATTTCAAGAGTGTATCTGTGACCAAGATCACGAAGCCAGATGGGGTGAGTGGGGAGAAAAGGGGGTTTGCACTGGTGTGTATGTGTGTGTGTGTGTGTGTGTGTGTGTGTGCCTGGGCGTGTGTGCACTAGAAACATCTGTGTAAAAAAAC